TGCTCCTGAATTTGAGTAAACACAATTATGCCAAGTAAAGGAGCAAACAAACCAAGTAAGACATAAAGGCAAACGGAAAGAAGGCGAATAAAAAGGCAAATATTTTTGTATTTTTCTGAAAATGTTTTAGAAGTGGGGGAGAGGAAAACGAGAGGAAAATGGCAAATAATGTAATGCAAGAGATGAGAGTTTATGACGGGTACTTGGTAGGCTTGATGTAGATCTCCCCAGCAACGGCGCCAGAAATTCTTGCTGCTACTTCTTGAGCTTGCGTTGGTTTTTCCCTTGAAGAGGAAAGGGCGATGCGGCAAAGTAGAGATAAGTATTTCCCTCAGTTAAGAACCAAGGTATCAATACAGTAGGAGAAACACACAAGTCCCCAATATATGCACCTACACAAATAATCAAACACTTGCACCCAATGCGATAAAGGGGTTGTCAATCCTTCACGGTCACTTGCAAAGGTGAGATATGATAGAGATAGACATAAAAGATTACTAAAACGTAAAAGTAAATAAAAGTAAATAAAACTCAGCGAGATATTTTTGGTATTTCTGGTATATAGATCTGAAAATATATGAAGGAGAATAGACCCGGGGGTCATAGGTTTCACTAGAGGCTTCTCTCTAGAAAGAAAATAATACGATGGGTGAACAAATTGCTGTCGAGCAATTGATAGAAAAGCACAAATTTATGATGATATCCAAGGAAATGATTATGAATATAGGCATCACGTTCGTATTAAATAGACCGACTCCTGCCTGCATCTACTACTATTACTCCACATATTGACCGCTATCCAGCATGCATCTATAGTATTAAGTTCAAAAGAACGGAGTAACACCTTAAGCAAGATGACATGACGTAGACAGATAAACTCAAGCAATATGATGAAAATCCCATCTTTTTACCCTTGATGGCAACAATACAAATACGTGCCTTGCTACCCCTACTTTGTAAATACGTGAGGACATCGCAAGATTGAACCCAAAACTAAGCACCTCTCCCATTGCAAGAACTACCAATCTAGTTGGCAAAACCAAACCAATAATTTGAAGAGAAATACAAAGATATCAAATCATGCATATAAGAATTCAGAGAAGATTCAAATAATATTCAAAGATAAGCTGATCATAAATCCACACTTCATCGGATCTCGACAAACACACCGCAAAAGAAGATTACATCGAATAGATCTCCAAGAACATCAAAGTGAACATTGTATTGAGAATCAAAGAGAGAGAGGAAGCCATCTAGCTACTAGCTATGGACCCGTAGGTCTGCGGTAAACTACTCACGCTTCATCGGAAGGGCAATAGGGTTGATGTAGAAGCCCTCCGTGATCGAATCCCCCTTCGGCAGAGTACTGGAAAATGCCTCCAGATGGGATCTCACGAGGTCAGAGACCTGCGGCCACGGGAAAGTATTTTGGTGGACGCTTCTGGTCGTTTGGTAATATTTGGGAATTTATAGGCCAAGAATTAGGGTTAGAGGACCTCCGAGGGGCCCACAAGCTAGGGGCCGTCCCCCCTAGGGCGCGCCTTGGAGGCTTGTGACCTCCTCGGGACTCCTTTGACTTCATCTCCAAGTCCTACGCATGTCTTCTAGTTCAAAAAAAATCATCGCGAAAGTTTTATTCAGTTTGGACTCCGTTTCATATTCCTTTTCTGTAAAACTTAAAACAAGGAAAAAACAGAAACTGGCACTGTGCTCTATGTGAATAGATTAGTCCCAAAGATAATATAAAATAGCATATTAATGCATATAAAACATCCAAAACAGATAATATAATAGCATGGAACAATAAAAAATTATAGATACGTTGGAGGCGTATCACCCACCCCGTACACCATAAATTGGTGGCTGCTTAGAGCTAGTACACGGCTTTTGTCGTTTGAGAGCAACCCACCTCCGAAGCCTTTGAGAGTGAATCCTTGCAAGGACAAAACCCAAAACACCCAAAGCCCAAATAGTGTTGGCATCACTGAAGTCTTTCTATCTGCATGATCTGAAGACTTATTAAGCTTGAGGACTGTGTATCCTCCAGTCGGTTAGGCGTCATGTTCTGAGGATCCAAGAGTCATTGTGGATCGCTGGTGAACGGAGTCTGTGAAGGTTTGGAAGTCTAGCTTGAAGACTTACCTGAGTGATTGGGCGAGGACTAAGTGTCCTTAGCTCAAGAGGAATAAGGTGAAGACGTGGTCTTCTGAGTTCAATCTCAGCCTCCCTAACCAGACATACAGTTTTCACAGCAACTGGAACTGGTCTACCAAATCCTTGTCTTCACCAAGCAACCGATTCTATCCCCCACCTCCTTTACATTTCAGTTTGTCTTCGTGAGGTCATTGCTCGCTTCCCTGATCTGTTTGACTTCATTGTGTGAAGACATTCATGTGTTTGGCTTCATACTGTCTTCCCATTCCGATTTGCTCTACCGAGCTTCTATTAGTCTTCGCGCTTTCATTGTACTGTTTACTTGACTATGGCATGTCTAGCGTAGCTTATCTTCTGATGCATATTGAATGGGTGTTGTTTGGTTGTCTGTCTTCGAAGATCTTGCATCTTTCGAAGACTTTCAAAAAAATCGCCTATTCACCCCCCCCCCCCTCTGGTCGATAACTAGCACTTTTCATCAAGTATCTTTTCTATTCACCTATCTGATGCTCTTTGTGGGGATAAAGAAGCCAAGAATTAAAGACTTTAATCCCGTTATGCAAAGAAATGAGAGAACGTTATCGTATGTTCCACTTTGGTCTCTTATGATGGGAGTGTATTAATGACCAAAACAGTTTTCTCTGCTATGCTCATTTTCTTCACGTTCTCCCTTGTTTGAGTGGTCAATCAGTTAAACAAGTATCTTAGGCACCAAGGGCATGCCCTCATTTCTTGGGATGACGTTTGCAAGCCAAAGCCGCAAGGAAGACTATGCAATCTCACTATCCTTGTGCATAACAAGACTCTTCTTACAAAGAACTTGTTCAAATTTCTTAACAAAGATAATCTTTTCATGGATTAACATCACTTGATAAAGTACTACTCCATGGCCCCACCTCTTGATAAAATGGAGGGTTCCTACTGATGGAAATCTCACCTGAAACTTCACTCAGGCCCTCTTGAACGCCACTTTAGGAAACGCAAAGTCAGTCAAGTAGTACGTACTATTCTCCATAACACATAGCCAAGCAAATCCGTGGGTGGGGGAGCTTCACATCCTACACAAGGAAAACAAAGTCAGTCAACCCTTACCCAACAGGTCAACACTACTACTATTCTCCATGTAATTAAATCCGTTCCATTCCATGAGATATTTTTCTCCAAGACAAGACAATGACCCGATGAACCTGAGCAACTCAACCACACAGCCAATGAGAAGAGCCTTTGCACGCGTGCTGAGTGAGTTTCTTCTACCCATAGTCTTCCCATTTTCTAGTGTGACTAGCTGCCCGAAACTTGGCAACAGGCACGCCATGCATTTCAAGTTTCAGCTGTCTACCGAGAAAAACACGCAGAGATGAAAGTCTCCGGCTGAAAAAAAAAACGCCAATTATACACGTCGCCGTTTCCATTTCTTCTCGTCTAGTATACACTACTACTAGTACGTACTCAACTTCCGCTACACGGCTTAGTTACAGGCCACAGCTGTACAAGTAGTCACGTAATGCATCTGGAATTCCCCGAGCCGTGAGTGTCGCCGTTGCAAATTTGCAATTGCTCTACTGTTTCGTAGCCCGCCCACTTGCACGACGAGCTCCGCCATATCGAGCAGATCTGACCAGAATTGTCGATCGCCGCTGTTATTTCCGCGACGTCCAGACAAAGCACAGCTAGTGCACCCAGGAAAACTCAGTTGCCGGCCGGTTATTAAGCAGCTTTGCGTGCCGTGCGCCGACTTATCAACCACCGGCGTAGCACAAAACATTATCTTGGAGGCAGCGGCTTAGTAGTAACCTGGCTAGCTGTTTTTGTCTATGATGATTAAACCAACAGAGTACCGGTGTAGTGTGTTATCTACTCCCTGGCGAGCAAGTGCTGGACTTTTCTGTCTGGTCGATCCGGATCATGTCCCTGTCACGTATGGACGGACAAATGCATTGCATGGGTGTTTCTGGCTAGTTTCTTGTTTGTACCGTTCCCTTCCCGGGCTAATAATTTTCCTGTGGATGGTGAAGTTGTAAATGACCAGCCGCCTCCAAAAACTTCCAGAAATAGGGTCCTCGCTAGTCCATGTCACATTGCGACAAGCCAGCACACAGCATTCATCTATCCATCTATCTATCTGAAAACACGCATAAGCCCAATCCACTTGCGTAAGCAACATTAATTCCGCCACAAACCTCATCTAAAAAGGGACACTCCAAAGCAAAGCCATATAGAAAGGAGAAGGTATCAGGCGTGACATGGCAAACAGCTGCGCCCATGGGGCGGCCAGCTAGCCGGCACACATCATCTGCAACAAGAACAATCTTTTCCATCCGTAGACCATGCTACGATATATCTATCCATCTACCTTCATCATCTAGCGATAGATAGATGGCCCTTGAGCGACCGAACCCATGAGCTGACTGACCCACACTAACACCAGCCCATCGGCGAGCCACGCTCTGACCACGTATCTATGTCTCGATCCAGCCTCAGCCCACGGGGGTGACGTCAATGCATAGTCCAACACAGCAGCAGCATTTTTATATGGTTTGCATTCACCGGAAAGCCAGGGAAAAAAATATTCGAGCCTAAAAACAGCAGAACAAAATACAGGTAGCAAACCATGAGTTGAGCCACGCGGAGCATGGTATGGGCATGGGGAGAGAGTGGCACCGTACCACCCATGCCATACACGACACCCACCCCACCCTGCCGCTGGGATCCTTCCTTCCTATATATCCCCCCGCGCGCGCTCCCCTCAGCGTCCTACAATTGATACCCCATCATAGCATCAGTTACCAACAGAAGAGACAGCCATACTCCACAGCTAGTGCTGCCAGTGTCGCGCCGTTACTGAAATGGACAGCACCAGCTGCCTCGCCGACGACACCAGCAGCGGCGGCGCCTCCACGGACAAGCTCAAGGCGCTGGCCGCCGCCGCGGCTGCCGCGGCGGGGCCGCTCGAGCGCATGGGCAGCGGCGCCAGCGCCGTGCTCGACGCGGCCGAGCCGGGCTCCGAGGCCGACTCTGGCGGCGCGGGCGCCGGCCGTGCGGCGGCGGGGAAGCTGCCGTCGTCCAGGTTCAAGGGCGTGGTGCCGCAGCCCAACGGGCGGTGGGGCGCGCAGATCTACGAGCGGCACCAGCGCGTGTGGCTCGGCACGTTCGCCGGGGAGGCCGACGCCGCGCGCGCCTACGACGTCGCCGCGCAGCGCTTCCGCGGCCGCGACGCCGTCACCAACTTCCGCCCGCTCGCGGACGCCGACCCCGACGCCGCCGCCGAGCTCCGCTTCCTCGCCGCGCGCTCCAAGGCCGAGGTCGTCGACATGCTGCGCAAGCACACCTACTTCGACGAGCTCGCCCAGAGCAAGCGCGCCTTCGCCGCGTCGGCCGCGCTCTCCGCGCCCACCACCTCGCGCGGCGCCGACGGCCACGCCTCGACCCCCTCCCCGGCCGCCGCGCGCGAGCACCTGTTCGACAAGACGGTCACGCCCAGCGACGTCGGGAAGCTGAACAGGCTGGTGATACCGAAGCAGCACGCCGAGAAGCACTTCCCGCTGCAGCTCCCGGCCGCGGGCGGCGAGAGCAAGGGCCTGCTCCTGAACTTCGAGGACGCCGCCGGCAAGGTGTGGCGGTTCCGCTACTCGTACTGGAACAGCAGCCAGAGCTACGTCCTCACCAAGGGCTGGAGCCGCTTCGTGAAGGAGAAGGGCCTTGGCGCCGGAGACGTTGTCGGGTTCTACCGCTCCGCCGCCGGGAGCACCGGCGAAGACACCAAGCTCTTCATTGACTGCAAGCTGCGACCGGACACCAACAGCCCCGCCTCCGCTGACCCCGTGGACCAGTCGGCACCTGTGCAGAAGGCCGTGAGACTCTTCGGCGTCGACCTTCTGACAGCGCCGGCGTCGCCGGAGCAGGGGATGCCGGGGTGCAAGAGGGCCAGAGACTTGGTGAAGTCGCCGCCTCCGAAAGTGGCGTTCAAGAAGCAATGCATAGAGCTGGCGCTAGCGTAGAGTTGGAACTATTAGCTCGATCGATCTCTTCTCTCCAGCTAGGCGGCGGTTTTTGCTCGCATAATTCAGGTGGTAGAGCTTAGCTTAATTAGTCCCTTGTCGGTATCATCAACTTTGTTTGTTTATTTGTCATGTTGTTGCATGCCCTGATGTAAATCTTATCTTTCCGAAAATGTATACTAATTGAGGAAGCCCTAGAAGGCTAGCTTAGCTTAGATCGTTCAACCGACGACGACGAAGAAGAAGAAACATATAATAACATTTTGAATGTAGCCTAGCTCATCAGTTTCCTTGTCAAAAACTGAAGCATATCCTATTTGGTAGTAGAAGTATCTAGATATTTAGCATCCATTTTGACCTAGCTTTATTTCTTGCGCCTTTTTATACACTTCTAGGATATTTATATGCGCACCCTGAGACGTGATGTGATTGTTGTGTAGCTAAGAGCATCCGGCCCCAGCATGCCCTCCCTAATCGCATCCTCAATACGCCGAATTCCGCCGGCTCGGCCTGTTTTTGCGCCCGGCAATCGCAGGCCGAACCCGGCGCTCGGGAGCTCCGGCAAAGGAAAAACGTACCTGGGCCACACTGCCAGGCGAAAAGTCAAACCACCCGTCCAGATTTACCTCCGACCACCCCCCCCCCTTCCCCCGCGCTCGGCCGCCACCATGTCGATCCCGGCGTCGTCCATTGCCCACAACTGCTAGATAGACCATTTCCCGCCGAAAAAAGAAGAGGTTTCGCCGAGGCAGCCTCTCCACCGTCGTCCGGGCAACTTTTTCGGCGTTCCGGGCGCGTAGGGCCCGTACAACGGCGGTTTTGCGCCCACCTCGTCCGCAAGGTGTTCGGTGATTTGCCCGGCTCGGCCATGGACTCGGAAGATGAGGAGACGCTCGCGACGTTGCTGGAGGAGGAAGCCGAAGCCGACGTCCAGGAGCAGGAGCATCTCATGATGCTCGCCGCCCTCGTCGGCCTGCTCGCGAGCACTGAGAAGCCGCGGCAAGGTGGCTCGGCGCCTGGCTGGGTGAAAGCAAAGAACCGGCATCGTCTGAAAGGCTACTGCATGCTCTACTCGGACTACTTCGCCGATGCTCCATTGCATGGCGAGAAAACATTTCGGCGCCGTTATTGGATGGGCCGAAAGCTTTCCCACAGGATTGTGAATTCCATCCGGGAGTTCGACAACTACTTCAAGTGCAAGATGGATTGCACTGACACACTTGGATTTACCTCAATCTAGAAGTGCACGACAGCTATGAGGATGCTTGCATACGGAGCTCCCGGTGATTCACTCAACGACTATGGGCGCATGACCGGGTCCACCATCATTGAGTGTTTCTATAAGTTCTGCAGGGCAGTGGTGCCAGTGTTTGGACCGCAATATTTGCGAACACCCAATGCGGAAGACACTGCTCGGATCCTAGCACAGAATGCAGCAAGAGGATTTCCTGGGATGCTTGGAAGCATCGACTGCATGCATTGGAAATGAAAGAACTGTCCATTTGCTTGGCAGGGGTTGTACAAAGGCGCCAAAGGCGGTTGCAGTTTGGTACTTGAGGCAGTGGCCACACAGGACCTATAGATTTGGCACTCTTTATTTGGGATGCCAGGAACTCACAATGACATCAATGTCCTGCAGTGCTCCCCTGTCTTTGCCAAGCTTGTTGAAGGTCATTCTCCTCCGATGAACTTCGAGGTTAATGGGCGGCACTACAACAAGGGGTACTATGTAGCTGATGGCATCTATCCGAGATGGTTGACATTTGTGAAGACTATCTCAAATCCTGTGCGAGGAGGAAAGAACGCCTTCTTTGCGATGGTTCAGGAGGCTTGCAGGAAGGATGTCGAACGGGCATTTGGTGTGCTCCAATCTTGATTTGCCGTTGTCCGGTACCCTGCTCAGACCTGGTCGAAAGATCAAATGTGGGAGATCATGACTTGTTGTGTCATCTTGCACAACATGATCATTGAGAGCGAGCAGGAAGAGTCAGTGTTTGACACAGAACCATATTACAGGCAGGGTCCTCTTGCCCAAGTTGATCACCAGCTACCGGCAACTTGGACTGACTACCTCAATATGTGCCAGGAGATCCGAGACACACAGGTGCATCAAGAACTGCAACACGATCTGGTGGAGCACCTGTGGAGGTTCAAGGGCAACGCCGGGAATAACATGTGATGAAACTTGAGTTTTATTTGTTGAACTATATAATTTGTATTAAACTATTTGTTGAACTATTTGATTTATATTGATTTTCTGTGATGAACTATGGAGGCAAAAACACGCCGAACCATACCGAACTATGTGATGAATTAATTGATTTCTATTATATGAGGAAATTCACGCCGAAACACGCCGAACCGCGTCGAATATGGACCGATTCACGCAGATATCGAGCCGTTTTTGATAAAATTGTGCCGAATAATGGAGCGAAATCGGCGTCTGGGGGCGACGGCTGGGTGCCCAACCCCCAAGTCAAGTTTGCGCCGGCTCGCCATCAGGCTGTGATTTTTATGCCTCCCGGGGGCTAACGGCTGGAGATGCTCCAGCGCGCACACACAGACACCAGGTGCATGCATGTATCGTCAGCTAAGTTTGAAAATAGAAAAGAGAGGTGGTGCATATAGCAGGGATGGAGCGCGCCCATGGCGGCATGCATGCACACACTAGAGACATCTGCTGCTGTAGATGATATGACAAACTTATCAGCAACAGAAGAGCTGCCTTTTTCAGGATGGATATATGCTCGCCATCGCCAGTAGGAAAAGATGAAATACTAGTAGATCCGAGGAAAACAAAAAGAAATGCACTGTCCCTGTAACAAATGCATTCTGTTCATCACGCCCGATGGATAGCAACACAACACGTATCGTACAGGTGGTGGCCTGGCCTAGCCTGGTGGGTGGTTGCTAGCTAAGGCCCTATTTGGTTTCAAATAAGTCACCAACTTATAAGTCGAAAAGTGCAAAAACTGACTTATTTTGCCAAACGGACCCAACTTATAAGTCACCCCAACTTATAAGTCATAAGTTGCTCCACCCCAACTTAAAACTTATAAGTCACCCCTTTTTACGTGGGTCCCATCATCTTTACATTAAAAAACAAGATGGGAAAATGTGCTCAGGTCACTTATAAGTCAGATGACAACAAAACAAACATGACTTATAAGTCCCTGATTTTAAGTCACCTGACTTATAAGTCACTGATTTTAAGTCACCTGACTTATAAGTCAGGTGACTTACTGGAACCAAACAGGCACTAATACTAATAGTAGCACACGCAGAGCAACCAGTTGCACGCCTACTTGTTGGTTGTTTATTCATGCGCATGCAAGCCGTGATCCTTGACATGTGCAACACATTGCCGTCAATTTGTCAGAGCTGTAGGCTGTAGCTTATTGTGACCGAGCCGCCGGCCTCCAGCTCAGTGCGAGGCAGATTTTTGCCGCCGCGCCGATCTTTAATAGTACGTCTTGTGATAGGTACTGCGCGTGAGACGACGTGCAGCTCCTAGACACCATACGGACGGATCTTGGTGTGGTCTGTCACGCGAGATGCTAGCTTATTGTGACAGACCCAACAGATCGTTCCGCTGGCTTTGACCGGCCGAAGGAAGGGAAGCCAACGGCTGGTCGCGGGTGGAATCTTGAGGAATGGTAGGCTATGGCATGCGACCCGTCACCTACGGACAGCCTTCTTCACAGTAGTTTTCACTGTATCCGCCATCGTATAGGCTGGAGTGCTCTACAGGCCGAGGAATTTCTGACTATATTTATTTCCCCCGGAATAAGAGATCAGCCAGTTGAAGCAGCATTTGCTTCTCTGCAGTCCAGTCGGTACGCGCAGCTCTTTCACGCAGCTGTCGTGCGTCCAAATCTGTGGTATAGTACAGTCGTCGGTACCAGCAAACGGAGCATCACAATAAGTACTGCTGGTAGAGTATACAGATTTTTTTTTCTTTGGAAAAGAACGCATTGGCATGCAAGAAACGATGGAAGCATGGTGACTGGTGAGGCGAGGCGATACACACACACAAAAAAAAAAGGGTGAGCGATCCACCGAGTCAGCAACTGGCCTGTAGAGAGACAGGTTATGGGCTGTGCAATCGCGATGTATTGATCGGTGCACCAGGCACGTATATATAAGTACATAGGTGGGCCACAACCTCAACTATACAAGGAAACAGGAGGTGGGCCCTACACACACATATACACGTACACAATATACTCAACACCCCCCGCAGTCGAAGCGGCGCCAGTGACGCAGAGACTGGAACGGAACTCCTCAAAGGTGGAAGTCGGCAGTCCCTTCGTCATCACATCAGCGAATTGCTGAGCGGTCGGCACATGGAGAACCCGCATGCGTCCAAGAGCCACCTGCTCGCGCACAAAGTGAATGTCCAGCTCGATGTGTTTAGTCCGGCGATGATGAACGGGGTTGGCGGAGAGGTACACCGCAGAGACGTTGTCGCAGTAGACAACCGTAGCCTGGGAGACATCGTGATGTAGCTCCTGAAGTAACTGTCAAAGCCAGGTGCACTCGGCGACAGCGTTGGCCACAGCTCGGTACTCAGCCTCCGCGCTAGAGCGCGAAACCGTGGGTTGTCGCTTGGACGACCACGAGACGAGAGAAGGACCGAGGTAGACGCAGTAGCCAGAGGTGGACCGACGAGTATCCGGACAGCCGGCCCAGTCTGCATCGGAGTAAGCCACCATCTCCAGAGAAGTGGACGCCGTGAGTGTCAACCCAAGGGACATCGTGCCGCGGATGTAGCGAAGGATCCGCTTCACGAGAGTCCAGTGAGAGTCACGAGGGGCGTGCATGTGGAGACACACCTGCTGAACAGCATACTGAAGATCCGGGCGGGTGAGTGTCAAGTACTGTAGAGCGCCGACAATAGACCGGTAGAATGGAGCATCCGACGCAGGCGAACCCTCGAGAGCAGAAACCTTGGCCTTCGTGTCAACAGGAGTAGCAACAGGATGGCAGTTGAGCATGCC